TAATAATAATAATAATAAAGCAAAAAAATCCCTGGTTAGAAATTCCGCGGTCTCTCTAGGGCATCACACCGCTAGGGCCTTACTTCCGTTTTCTAGGGCATCACACCGCTAGGGTCTTACTTCCGTTTTCGTCGAGGACGAAGAAAGGCGTTCTTGTTTCGATTTAGACGAGCGAATTCAGAGGGCGCTAGAGTATTCCGTTGGGAGGAGGGTTCGTGTTGCTGAGGATTTTCTCCGGGACAGGGCTTCGGCGTCGTGGTCCAGGGGCTTCACGCCGCTGCCTCTGACGCGGCTTTTGCATTGGCTACGGTCGAACAGGTAGACGAAGAGGACGACTTGCATCAGGGAGATTTTGTAGATGGAGGACATACATTGTCAACAACTACAAGAAGATGACTATTGGTGAGAAGGACAATGAGCTTAATTTCAATGATGAAGAGACAGAGGAACTGGATGCTGCCGACGAACCAAAGGTGTTTCCGGTGGTTGGGGTTGTGGTCACGGATCGGAAAAGTAAGCTTCTAGGGTTCCAAGCTAGATCTGTTGGCTTCAATCTGGCGTCCAGGAAGAGGTGTGCCCATCAAGGAAATTGGAGAAAAATGTACCTTTTTAATTTTAATCATGTGTTGGATATGAATCATGTTCTTGAGCCAGATGATATACTTGAAAGAATGAATTTGTTTGAGGCTGAGTTTTGGGTACAAGTTCACAATGTACCTTTTGAATTTAGAAACTTGAGTTCTGCCAGGAGGATTGGGAATTTTTAGGCACTTTTATCAAGTTTGATAAGAACCTGTTTGAAGGCAACTGGAAATCATACTTAAGTATTCGAGTTTGTATGGATGTGCGAAAACCCCTAAAAAAGAGCACTACTTTAACAAAGGAAGGGGTTGGACATTGGGTTGATTTTAAATATGAGAAGCTACCCAATTTCTGCTTCATGCGGGAGATAATTGGGCATTCTGATAAATTTTGTCCAATGAGGTATGAAGAGGGGTTTGTGCTGGAGAAATCCTTTGGGGTGGATCTCGATCAGGGTTGGAGGGTGGGGTGGGGTGGGGTGAAGACTAGCCCTATAGGGACTAACACATGGCTAGTTAATAATCTTCAAGTTCCGAGGGATATGGGCAACAACGGAAGACTGATCTCGGGGGCGAATAGTCGGAAGAAACAGGTGCTAGTGTATCCCAGCAAGTGGGACAACTGACAGGGAGGAGGTACCGGGTGGGACAAAGCGCAGAAGAATTCGGGAAGGCCGGTCCAAAGAAGCTACAACTGGAGAGGGCATGGCACTGGATGGGCTAAAAAATGGGGAGGCGGCGGGTCAATTTTCCTAGACCCGCCGGTGATTCACGTGGCTGTGCTGATCGGGAAGACGAATGCTGGTTTTATTTTTGTTGTTTGCTTTTACTGTTTTTTCCATGGTCAGACTGATCTGTTTTACTTTCATTTTTTCTTTTGCTGTAAGACTTTTGCATTAGGTTTGGGGGATGAAGAGTCTACAATAATCGTCATTGGCTTTGTGTTGCCCAAATTAGGTCTAGCGAGTTATATTGCTTTGTCAAAGGTGATTAACTCAGAGTCTTGGCCAAGGGCGGATGATTACATGTGATCCTTTTGTTATCATGTACCCCTGCTGAATGTTACTACCTCCGTCCCCCTATGTTTGGGACAAGAGAAGGTGACACGGTTATTAATAAAGGTGGGTTTATGTGGTTGATATTGAATTGATAAAGTAAGAATAAAGTAGGAATGATTTAGAACCACACAAACTTTACCAAATAAGATATGAGACAATCTTAGTGGGACGGACTGAAATGGTAAAATGGGACAATCATAGCGGGATGGAGGGAGTATTTTATTAATTTAAGCCCCCTTCGATCAAAATAATAATAATAATAATAATAATAATAATAATAATACGGAGTAATAATAATAATAATCCCTCCGTATTTAAAAGATCTCTATATTATGTGTTGGCACAAGATTGAGTAATTGAGTATTTTTTAAGGAAAAAAACTTACCAAAAAGTGAAAGTGTATCAAATTTGTAAATACATCCCAAATAGGAAAGTGTAACAAACATTTAAATACAAAGGGAGTAATAATAATTATAGTAATAATAATAATAATTATAATAATAAATATAATGATGATGATGATGATGAATGATAAGTGATAACAATTATAAGAATAACAACAATGATAACAATAATAACAATAATGATGATGATGATGATGATGATGATGATGATGATGATGATGATGATGATGATGATGATGATGATGATGATGATGATGATGATGATGATGATGATGATGATGATGATGATGATGATGATAATAATAATAATAATAATAATAATAATAATGACAAAATAATAACAATGATAAAAATAATTACAATAATAAGAGTAATAACAATGATAACAAATAATAACAATAATAACAATAATAATAACAATATTATTACTATTATTATTGTTGCTACTCCTGTTGCTGCTGCCGTCGCTGCTCCTGCTGCTCCTGCTGCTCCTCCTCCTCCTGCGACCCCCACCGCCGCCACGACCCCCGTCGCCGCCATGACCACCGCCACGACCACCACCGCCACCACGACCACCACCGCCACCACTACCACTAGCACTACCACTACTACTACTACTACCACCACCACCACCACCACTACTACTACTATTACTATCATCATCATCATTTTTTTTGTTGTTATTATAATTATTGTTATTATTGTTACTATTGTTACTATTTTGATGAAGATGTAAAGTAGTGCAACATATAGAGCCGTTTGGTAGCACAAAAATCGGCTGATTTGGCTGTTTCTGATAAAATTTATGAAGTTCTGGTTGAAGTGGCTGTATTGGCTGATTCTGCTGATTTAAGACAAAAATATTTTTAAGATATATTTTATTAATAAAATAAAGAAAAAATTATATGTAAAAATAGCTAAAATGGTCATATACAGTAACTTCAGCCAATACAGCCAGAAAAGTAACTCCAACCTTACTTTTTCTGCTTATTACACAATTCAGTGCGCGAAAGCAAAAGTTACGTATTTGGTGAAAAAGTTTGCTGATAAGCCTGATAAGCCGAAAAACAGTGGTTCCAAACGGCCTCATAAAGTTTTGCTAAATATTATTAAAGATGGAACTACACATGCTCAATGTGGTGATGTCCATGCATGCAGCTTATGAGGTGTTCACTTCTTACGAATTTGTATCAATATGCATCTCATTACAAAAGCTTTAGAAATTTCTAATATGCTTCATGCTTGGCCAAGCTTTGCAATTGCAGTCTCATGATATTTTGGATGCATTTCAGCTCGTTTTGTCAACTAAATTACTTATTCAAAAATTAAGAGATCATAGGTGAGAAGAGGTATATGCAAATGTTAATTTGTTGATCTTGTGAACATATCTAGGGGTGTGCACAATTTTCTAAGCCGATCGAACTAAACCGATACCAAAATTGTTACTATTGTTATTTTTGTTACCATTGTTATCATTTTTATTATTTTTATTATTGTTATTATTGTTACTATTGTTCTTAACTTCTTGTTGTTGTTGTTGTTGTTATTGTTGTTGTTATTATTATTATTATTGTTATTGTTATTATTATTGTTGTTGTTGTCATCGTCGTTGTTGTTGATATTATTGTGATTATAATAATAATTGTTATTATTATTACTACTACTACTACTACTACTACTACTACTACTATTATTATTATTATTATTATTATTATTATTATTCTTACTATCATCATCATCATCATTATCATCATTATTATAATCATTATCATTAGTTTTATTATCATTACTGTTATTATTATTATTATTATTATTATTAATATTTTGTTTAAATTACTCTTAATCTTTTGCTTTATGTATCAAGTTTTTATCAAATTTACATTTTTTATCAAACTTTGTAAAACTTTTAATGTAGCTCCTGAATATGTAAATTTTATTTATTAAAAATAATTTGAGTGTGAATAGAGATCAATGTTATTTATCGTCAGTCAAACATCGTAATCCGAAACGAAAAATTCCTTATGGGACAGAGGTAATATAAACTACTAGTATAAATTAAATCAATATTCAGATGCTCAATTTAAAAAGTCCCATATTTCCAAAGTGAAACATAAATGGAACAAAAGTAAGAATGTTCATCACAATTAATCATTAACGAGCTTAAGAATATAATTGCCAATAATAGACCCTGGACAAATTTAAACTAAGAATATTCATATAATTAACTGAATAATAATAGTTCATTTGTTTTGATATAGTCAAACCAACATTATTATAGTAATAACTAATGTCTAGCTATATATGGTATATTCTATCATTTCTATGACATAATATGCTACTACCTCCGTCCCATTTGTATTGCTCTTTACGGTTTACGATGTTTAACTGACGATAAAGCAAACAGATCCCTGTCCGCACTCAAATTATTTTTAGGAAAAAAAATTACATATTCAGAAACTATATTTAAAGCTTTACGAAGTCGCAAAAACCTAAATCAAATTTGATAAATTTTTTATATATAAAGTAAGAAATTAAGAGTGATTTGTGTTGACCAAGTAAATAAGAACTGGGACAATATAAATGGGACGAAGGGAGTATATATTATGTAAAATAACTGGTTCTTCAGGACGATTCAAAACAGTTCAATACAGTTCTAGGACGGTTCATATTATATAAGATAATCGGTTCAACACAGTACTATATTTTCCCGATTTTTCTGTTCCGGTACGGATCAGAATGGCTCTCAGTACGGAACGGGAAATCCTGGATCCGTGCTCAGCCATACTTCTAATCCAAATCCCAAAAACCAGTCTTCATACAAATCCAAATTCAAATAATCCGAAAAACTAATGCTGACACAGTTCGTTAGCGAACCGGTGTCCACTGTCCGGTTCCTGAGTCGTGCCCAGCCTACTTTAGAGGATAATGCCCCTCACAAGTCACAAGAAGACAAATTGTTGGCACATCAAATGGTCATCAATGCATATCTTTGTAATTGAGGAGAGAAATTAAGTTGTGTAGTGGCTCAATGCAGAAACCAAAAGTGCATACAACAATAGGGAGCAACAATAAAAAAAAACAATCTTAACAATTTTAATACATTATGTAATACAATCTTAAACAAACTTATTAAATCTGGAGAATACTAAGCACACTACAATGGATATAATAGCAGGATATATCCACCTACGATATGTAGACAGAGATTTAGGCAAATAGTTTTGTGTCGTATAATGAAAAACACTCTCCTCCCACACTCCTCCAGGCGTCATACTTCATTTCATGGATGAACTTTTTCACTCAAAGGGATGAGGTGGTTAAATGGTGAAGATCTACGAAACCAGAAAGCACTGCCCTATTACGCTCTTTCACCTTCACCTGGTATATGACCCTGCATTTTATTCAATTATTAGTAAGCCCTCAAATTGAGTTACGCATGCATTGGCTAGAGGTTTGATAAATTATATATGGACCTTGTTCTTGAACAATCCTTCATAAAACATGTAAACAATTGATGTTATGAAGACTTGTGTCGTTTCAAAATCTCAACATTTAAGGAAGAATAATATGATGCTTTAGATATTCGTTTTTACATCCATAGTAAAAATGTCACTAAAGATGATGGTTTGTTGGGAAAGTCCGCCCTTGAATTCCATGTGCACATTTAACTCTTCAACCCGATCAAATATCTCATTTGAGCTTCACAAAATCTACCTAGGGGCTATATCTAAAAAATGTTTCCAATTTGAGATTTATTACTCGACATCATTTAAATTGGAATTAGATGATAACTAATAAGTGAACTTAAATGATACTTCGGGTTGGGCTTCTTATAGTTGTATTTCCTGCTCTTTATTTTCCTTTTCATTTTCATTTCTTTCCTTTTAGTTCTTTCCATTTTCATTGTACTTTATTTGCTCCTTTAATAAAATATCATTTGATGCCACCTTCATATGGTGTCAATCAGCAGTGGTGCTGCATCGCATTTTCTCTATCATGCATATAACATACCTCAAACCTTCAAGCCACATTTCTGTTACTATGGTTTCCCCAGGGTACACGTGTAATAAAAATCTGCCAGAAATACCCTTTATCATGTTTGTGTTTCCTCTACAGACACACTTAATGATAGCCCTGATAGCAAACCCAAGTGTGCATAGCCCATGCAATATAGGGCGAGAAAACCTGTACATAGTACCACGAAAAAAACAATTACCCTGGTGGCAAATAGCATCAAATCTTTAGCCAGTGAAAACTATGTGTACGTTTGGAACCTTAAAATGTTAGAGAAAGAAAACAAGGAGAAAATAATACACGAAATTTCGAAGAAAGAAAGCTGGAGGGAACATAATAGGCTCGAACAAATAGTTCAAAGAATATATGTAAAATTTTAAAAAGTAATAATCAAACATAAGGAAATAATATCCTGAGGAAGCAGTCCAGCCCAGCTGGTCGCCGACTCACTCTCTTATGGGAGGTCCCGGGTTCAATTCTCAATGGAGTGAGATTGATCCCAGTTTACCCTAGGCCCCCCAAACCCCCCTCCCCCTGAGCCCCCCTGGGGTAAAAAAACAACAAAAATACAAAAAAAAAGGAAATAATATCCTTATTAATTGCCCCCGCTCCCTCTCCTTACCCTTTTCTGAGTTGCAGACATAGACCTAAGAGACCTAGAAGGACAATAATTCATACAATAGTATATAGCAACTCTTTTACCAATATAATTATTCTCCACAGTGAAATGTATAGTGAATACTACAATAATTTTACCTCTTGGGGTAGAGGCAAGGTTTGTGTACGTGTGTATTTGCATGTCGAATTTACTGGGATTGTTAGGTTTGGACTTTGGATTTTACTAAAAACCTCATGATATGGTGACTTAAATGCACATTTTGCAGAATAAAATATCAAAGCAATTTATTACCATATAAAACTCATGATATCGTCTATAATGCTTTTAATTCTCAAATGCATTTTGGATACTCATTCTCTTTGTATCATAATGATTTTTCAAACTCTAACATGGAAAAAGTTAATACGTAGTATAACGAAATTAAAATCTGCAAGTTCAGTGAAAGAAGCCGGCAAAAGTTTGTTTGTTTGTTTTTTGAAAAAAGGGAGAGATTAATATAGGGAGCTAGCTGAAATAGAAGTCATTAAACAATTCATTTGAAACATAAAATAACCGCAATAAGACTTCATTTTAAGCACAAAGAGCTCTTCCATTTATACCCTGCAACTTCTGCAACCATAGGATCTGAATGCAAGGGATTGTAATCACCAGAGAGCCTGTACAACAATGCCTACATCATGCCACAATTTCCACTTGTCACATGGAGTATCTAATCATCAAGACTAAATAAAATAATGCCATTCCATGAAAGTGATGCATTATGAAGTGTAACAGAATGTGCTAGACAACAAGCAGTCAGCAGAGAGCCACCTAGAAATAGGCTATATTATACACAGTTACACAAACATATATAAGGAAAATTAACTTTATGGAGAAAATAACTTTATTGATAGAAATGAGAGTTAACCGGGTTGCTGCTGTATTTTAACAGTCCTAGTCATCGTCTAGTCGTGCCTCTTGGATTTTGTTGAAATATAAGCTAGAATAATATTGAAGATAGAAAGAAGGATTTTCTGTGTATTTCATTGGAGGGTTAAGTCCCTTTCAATATACATTACAAAGATAGAATATTCATATAAGATTTTATACAATAATAATATCCTAGAGTACATTCCTAAAATATTCTAAAGCATATTCTAAAGTATATTCTAATATCTTTCACACACCCCTCAAGTTTGAGCATAGGTATTTATCATGCCCAACTTGTTACTGTTAGAAAACTCCAACTCTAGTCTTACAGATCACAGAATTGGTTTAAGAAATATCTCAAAGGCAACTTTTATTCTCAAAGGCAACAATGGCCGAAGGCCTAAGGCAACAGACTGCGTACAGTTTACAAATCAAATTCAGCATGCCTATTACTCCTTTCTACATTCTATTTATAGTAATGCAGTCTAACAACCTGCAGTTATACTATATAACAAAGTTATACTATATAACAACTCAACTACTTCCCGACCTTATTTGCCTTCTAGAATAGGCCTAACTAAAATTACTTATTTAGTAAGGTCTCTAACAATTCTCCCCTCCTTAACAACCACCTTGCCCTCAAGGTGGGCGATAGGTAGCAGCCAAAATCTCCTTTTTCTTCTTCTTCCTAGCACTCCTGCCTTCCCAATATTTCACAAATTTCTGAAAGAGGAACTTCATTACTCGGTCTTGCCAATTCACAGACGTTTCCTGAACATCCCTGCTATTGTAAGGCAAGCCAGGAACTGAGCCACCGCTTGTGTATGGAGATATAAAGTCAGCTCCTTCTTTGGTCTGAATATTAAGATCAATAGTCTCTTGTTCCATGTTCTGCCCCTGCACATTCTCTTTACCATACAGTAGATACCCCTCCATAGTTGGGTGCAGAAACTGCGCATTGATTGTGTTAGAAACATCTTTTTCATTCAGAGCTATATCCCCTTTTATGGAGCAAATCTGATTCCCTTGCTTCCAAATGATGGACTGGTGTTTGAAGTTGATTGCCATATTTCCCAATTGAGTTAACCATTCCATGCCTAGCACCAATTCTGTCCCTCCTAACTCCAGGATGTAGAAAACTTGTTGTATTACACTCCCTTGTACATCTAGTTTCAGCCCCATACATCTGCCATTATTGGGAATTAACTCCCCATTACCAGTCTGGACCCTATAACCTTTTATTTGATGGTAAGGGATTTTATACTTGTCCACCAAGTTCTGCGAAATGAAATTGTTAGAAGCACCACAATCAATGAGAATATTTACTGGTTTCTCTCCTGTAGACCAGCTTAGTCTTCCCATTACTTCAAAAGTTCTCACAGGCTGTATACCATCATTGTTGAGCACAGACAATTGCAATGATTTGAGTTCAGGGTGAGGTCCCTCTTCTTCAGAACTGCTGCCCTCCACCCCAGTTTCTACCTCTCCTTCGGAATGTTCCATCAAAACCATTCTAAAATTTTTCATCTTACATATATGCCCCCTGTTCCAGTTTTCTCCACACTTGAAGCATAAGCCTTTCTTACTCCTTTCCATCAATTCTTGTTGGGATAATCCGGGGCCTATTTTTCCTGAACTGGAACCTTCACTAGACTCCACAATTTTGTTGTCAATACTATTCTTCCCAGCAGAATGTGTAAGAATTGGATTACTGCTACTTCTAATCCCTTCTTCCCATTTAAGATAACTGCTTCCTTTAGTTGCAGTGTTCTTCCATGATCTTTTTCCTTCTTCTTTATCCCTTCTTGATAGTATTTCTTCATTCTTATCCTCAATCACTTGTGCCTTATCCATTATTTTCTCCAGATCTTTGGTCTTATAAAGCTTCAGTTCTGCTCTTATATCCTTCTTTAACCCATTCAGAAATATAGCTCTCATTACCTTTCTGTCCAGGTTTTCTTGAGAAGCAATAGCTTTTTCAAATTGTTCTCTGTACTCTTGTACAGAATTTCTTTGCTTCAGACTCAGCAAGGGCCCCAATGGATTTTGAATGAGCTCAGGTTGAAATCGCCTAATCAGTGCTTTCTTGAATTTGTCCCAATTCCTTTCTCTGGCTTGTTTTTCCCACCATTGAATCCATCCTAGCGCTTTACCTTCCATGGCAACTACTGCCACTTCGATTTTTTCTTCCTCTTCTGTGTTATTGAGGCGAAAGTATCGTTCGATCCTCACAAGCCAGCCAAAAGCGTCTTCACCTTGGAATAGAGGTAAATCAACCTTCCTGTGCGTCTGATGGTGTTGGCGAGGTTGATGATGTAGTCGAGTTGGTGAGTACTCCTGGTGACTATCTGAGCTATCGGAACTGTCCATCGATCGCGTCAAGTGATGATGCGCTGAAGGTCGCGTTGAATGATGCGATGAAGGTCGCGATGATGGATGCGATGTGCGATGCGAAGAATGACGCGATGAAGTTGATGCGTGCGATCTACTCCTCGATCGACTTTTGTCCCTCGCGTCCAGCCTTGCTAGAATCGTAGCCAACAACTCCTTCGTTTCTTGACGGTCTTTCTCCAGTTCTTCTATTCTCGCTTCCATTTTTCCTCGCGTCCAAACCATTAACGAGATCAACTGTCTCTGATACCAATGTTAGAAAACTCCAACTCTAGTCTTACAGATCACAGAATTGGTTTAAGAAATATCTCAAAGGCAACTTTTATTCTCAAAGGCAACAATGGCCGAAGGCCTAAGGCAACAGACTGCGTACAGTTTACAAATCAAATTCAGCATGCCTATTACTCCTTTCTACATTCTATTTATAGTAATGCAGTCTAACAACCTGCAGTTATACTATATAACAAAGTTATACTATATAACAACTCAACTACTTCCCGACCTTATTTGCCTTCTAGAATAGGCCTAACTAAAATTACTTATTTAGTAAGGTCTCTAACAGTTACATAAATAACCAACTCGAATTCCATTTAGTGCTTTAGTCAACAAATCTCCAAGTTGTTCTCTAGTCTTCACATATCCTATAGAGATCAATCATTTTTGTATCTTCTCTCGAATAAAATGACAATTGACCTCAATATGTTTTCTTCTCTCATTAAACACTGGGTTTTATCACTAAACCGTTCAATTGATTGACTGAGTTTCCCAAACCAGTCACTGTTTTAGACCATAAAGAGACTTGCGAAGTCCACAAACTTTCTCACTCCCTCTGAGCAATAAATCCCAGAGGTTGCTCGATAAAAACTTCTTCATAAAGATCACCATGCAAGAATGCATATTTAATGTCCAAGTGATGTAAGTACCAACCATGAGTTGCAGCAAGTGAAATAAATAACTTGACAGATGTTAGGAGAAAATGTGTCAGAATAATCAACACCATAGGTTTGAGCATAACCCTACGCAACTAATCGCGCTTTCAACCGAGCAACAGATTCGTCTTGGAATAACCTTTACAGCAAAGACCCATTCACATCCAATAGACTTCTTTCCTGTAGGCAAGTCTACCAAATCCCAAGTACCATTAAAATCTAAAGCTTTCATTTCCTTTACCATGGCATGACGCCATTCAGGATGAGACAAAGCTTCTTGAACAGATTTGGGAACAGAAATAGAATCAAGGGAAGCAATAAATGAACATGAGGTAGAGGATAACTGACACTATGAAGAAATATGAGGAGTACAAAACCGTGTACCTTTATGAAGAGTTACCGGGTGATCTGGTGCTTTGTGTCGACGGATGTATACTAAGTGTATTGAAGGCATAGGGCTAGGAACAGTAACATGGGGAATGATTGTCGAAAGAGTGGTCTCGAGTATATTCATCGTGTAAATAAGTATATCATCACTATACCCATGAATATTTGCCTTGGATGTTGAAAATGGTGTATTTCATGAAATGAAGCATCAATAGAAACTAGATATTGACATGTACTTAGACAAAAACATATATACCCCTTTCGAACTCGAGAATAACCTAAGAAACTACTTTTTGACAAGTAACACTTTCACTGGCCTTATGTTTCATTTATTGGTAATTCCATTTGAAAATTTTGTAATTCATATTTAAAATCAGTAAAATAAATCCGACAATTCTTCCCATTTCACGTAGTTTGAATCATCAACCTCTTTCCTTTCCCAAATACCTCAAGATGTTGTTCAGCCTGGTAATTAGGTATTATCCTTGTGCATTTCAGTAGCATTGGGACTCAGGCTCAGATGTTGTTGTCATGTTGTGTTGTTGATGGGTCCATATGTTTGTATGTATGTATGTATGTAAGTATGTAGTGAAAAGTTCACACGAGAAGTGTCTCCAGCTGAAAACTGCGAAGTTTTATCTAATAGAACCAATGTGATAAGTAGGGGTGCAAACGAGTCGAGCCGAGCTCGACACACCATATGTGTTTGGGCGTCGACGACACGACATACGAACGACACCATAGACGCCACACAACACCGCATATCATGAACCAACCAAATTATGACTAGGCACAGAAAAACATTTGACACATTTAACGCACAAAAGGGGCATCTCCTCAGTCCAGACTCATTGCCGTTGTCTTGATCATCGCAATCACTCGTCGACATCCAAACTCGATGCATTTTATTCCTCTTCTTGAATTTTCAAATCTCAACTGAACTCTTTATTTTTTTCAACCTTCCTCAAAGTTTTAGTACTTCATTTATGTTTTATACTCCCTCCGTCCCTCAAAACTTTGTCAAGTTTGACCAGAATGGAGAATAATAAAGTAAAAACTGTGTGGTTGAGATTTGTGCATAGGAAAGAGAAATAATAGGAACCACACATTAATTGATTAAAAGGGAAAGTGACAAAAAAATTTGGACATCCCAAAAAGAAAAGATAGCAAAGTTCCAAGGAACGGATGGAATGTGTAATAATTTCAAGAAACACTCCAAATGTAAATTGTTCTTAATTTTTACTAAATATATGATGGTTTAATCTTATGGTCATATGGATTAAACAAATAAAATATCCCAATTTTTTATTTGGGATATTTGGACAACCACCTCCATCTCCCTTGTGAAGCCAAAATCATGATAATTGGACTAAACAAATAAAATATCCCAATTTTTTTTACTTGCCTGAGATGGCTGTGAACAATCTTCAAAAACAACAAATGGTTTGCGGTTGGGGATTTTCAAAGGAGCTGTTTGGTTTGCTGGATATTTGGAATATGAGTAAGGATTGGAAGACTTTGAAAAGCCACCAGCACCCCTCAAGAAAATAGACATCCTGAAATGTATTCAAATCTGACAACTGCATAATGACATAGGTGTACTGTGTAAACAAGTTTTTTTAAAGAGGAAACCTACCTGTTCATACATAGAAGATCACCTGATTCTTTCTCATAGCACCCAATTTCAACTTCTAGAACAGCTGCTTTACCTGTCCAAATGTACAAGTAAATTTTCTGTCAGGATGATTATTTTGTAAATGCATTTCTTGTGATGAATTAAATTTGCATTACGCTGTTGTCATATTTCCCTAACCATCCTTCTAGAAGATCTAGAGCTGTTATGGTAGGGGCTTCATTTCCCCGATTATGAGCCATCTTTTTATCAGACACTAACTTATTACATTATGCTAACTAAATCGGTTGATATTGGATAAAAAGTAGAAGTACCAATTTCATAATTTAATGTGTGTGTATTTGAAAAGTCAGCATATTCAGAGACATTTTCAGCAACTTCAACGGGCTCAGTCACAACTTGAGCAACTTCAGTGGATTCAGCCACTTAAGCCTGAGCCTTACTAAACAGGCTCTTAGTAGCATAAAACATGGTAATTCCGTAATTGGCATATAGCCATATATATGTAAAACCAGACCTTTATCGTGCAATCCAGCAATACTTGCTCTATTAATTACCTGCATCAACAATACTGGGAAGTTATTACTATGAAATGATGAAAAGAATACAAGAAAAGAAAGACAAATGACAGAAAGTGGTTATAATTCTGTTTCTTTTATTAGCCAACTGATGGCAAGACAACCTATTGGTTCTCAGATCACTCCCTTTTTTTGGACCCCAACTTTAACTTTTTCTAGTTTTCGTTCACGACTATGGACTTCTTCTCCATTCTCCCTTTTAGTCCTGCTAATCACATGCCCGGCCAGTTTTTGTGCAGTTTCTGCTTGATTTTGCTGGATAAGTGGCTGGAAAGGACTGACTAATAGTGACAGGATATTCATAGTAGTAAACCAAAAGTGCAAATAGTGAAAATCGGGGACAAAAAATGTTGGAATGTACCCATATTTGGGGGATTTTGAAATTTTCTTTGTTCTCAATTACGCCTCAAAATGGGCTTCAACAGCAACACAACATTTGCAAGGATTGAAAAACAACCCTTTACCTATACACAAGGGGAAACATCTAATCTCCATTTTTACCAAGAAACAAATCTAGTTTCCACAAATTAAGCAAAAAACTCTTAAGTATGATGGTTCTAGGAATGAAATTAAACATAATTCCACAAGGGAAACATATCATCCCCTGAGTACAGGATCTTACAGAACCGCTTGAAGGAAGTGGCTTATAGATTTCAATATACTGCTGCCCATGCAATAGGAGATGTGGATTATATCTACAAAAAAAGGAACCCATCAAACTATCAAAGTATGATCAGCTAGAAACCAATACTAACATGTCACTAAAGGTGTGTGCATGAAACAAAATATGGGCGAGTTCATACAACAACATTAAACCAGTGCCGCAAAGGCTCCCACCTACGGTAGGGTAAGTGGGGGGGGGGGGGTCGGATGTACGCAACCTTACTCCTGTACTAAAGCACAAAGAGATTGTTTTGGATGACCGATGATGAAAATTGCATTGGAAATTGCATGGACTGACTATTGCTTCATAACAAAGAAGCACAAGCAGTTTAGCGAGTCATTTTGTATTATTACATCATATTCTCAAACCAAAAAATAGGGAGCCCGATCATGCAACACAGAATATCCCATTGTTTCAGAAGTTAGAGACATACCGCAAGCCTGGTATCTCTGCAATTGTTTCACTATAACCGATAGAAAATAGTGCTGCAAACGTCGGCAAGACCTACAATGAAAGCATGAGAGAAACAAAGAGCGAGAATTTTAACCCGTTTAATAGAAGTTATTTTCATGAAATAACTGAAGCAATTGAAATTTCTGACTTTTTTGCTTATTGTCTATATAAGCAGAACAAGCCACATGAGGCTACCAAAAGGAGCCTTAGTGCTTCTAATTCATCCAATCTTCCATAAAACTTTAACAATACTTCCACCTTAGTTGCATCACATAATACTTTAATATGCACCCCAACAACATAGTTTATTATGAATCACTTTTCAAGATGAACTACAACATCATTAGATCTCCTGCAGAGCAAGACCCACACTGGATTTCTGGAAGATTGTTTTATACGCAAACGTTCTATTTAGAACATGGAATCAATGGAATGAATTGCTTTAGTAGGAGAATCAGATCAATTTATCAGGGTAGGATGTGTGGGGTAAGATGTGGAGTGTAGGATCAGATAAAATATAATCCCTCCTCCCTATAGAAGGCTGTGTGATTTATATTACTCCCTCAGTCCCAAATTGTAAGATACATTTACTATTCACTTGGTCAACATAAATCACTTCTAAACTTTTATTTTATATATCAAAAGTTTATGAAGTTTGAATTATTTTTGCAGGTTTTGTAGCGGATTTAATGTAGTTTTTGAATATGTAAATTTTATTTTCTAGAACTAATTTGGGTGTTGACAGGGATCAATTTGCTTTATCGTCAGTCAAACGTCGTAAACCGAAATGTATCTTACAAATTGGGACGGAGGGAGTAATTCTAATTTCTCACCTTATATCTCAACTACACAGTTCCATTTTCATAATAAATGTGACAAATAAAACTAAAACCTTTATTTTAGGAACAAATTGACAAGTATTTACATGAAATATGTTATAATTGTCCAATGGATCCAATATTCCGTAAAGATTCAGTAAATAGTTGGGTTCAACCTCAACAAGTTTCCTAAATACCTCCTGAATTTCACAATTCCGTACTCCCCAGTTTTATGTTTGTGTAATTTAATGACAGTTAGTGATTAACCTGGATATATTGCTGACCATCTCTATGATAAACAAATTTGAGCTCTTTATCATCTACAGCGTCCTTTGCGCACGCTCCAACTCCCAGCGCGTACAAAGCAACATCTCTAAATCATGGCATTCGGAAACACCTACATGCTTAAATCTCCCAACAAAAAATTATATGGGGTAATTTGGAATTGATTCTGCTTCTTTTTGGAATGATAATCAATTTTTCCGCAGGTTTCCAAAATCTAAAAAGCTACTTCTGTAAGTAATTTTGAAAACTCAGAGATACTTCCGCACTTCTACCCAAAGTCCCAAACATTCCCATATCTGTTTTGTTTTTCCTTCAAGGAGCAGAAGCAGTTAGAAGCGATTTGAAGAACCAGATCCAAACACCCCATAGTCAACTCTCATTAATGGAGAGAAACTAAAGTAAAATATAACCAAATTATATTGATTAAAACGGAGAAAGAATCAAATGAACAATGATGGAGCCATTCAAGGAGTTCGCTGGTTCACCTCTGGGTGTAAGTATAGGTAGCCTGAAATAAAATAAAATTAATAAACATAAAATCGACGTAATTAGTAAGAAACCATGGTAAAATCAATCAAAGTGAAAAAAGTACGATAATGGCATGTATGTGTACCTCGGGAAATTTATGAGAAACTATCAGCTGAGGATCGAACTCAGAGTTGCCGGTGGTCGCCATTGTACAGGATTTTCAGGTCATTCAGATAGACTAGTTTCTCAGTGCAATGCAGGCGCCGAACTTTGATTGAACATTGTGTCTTAAAATTGTGTAAAGGAATTAAAAATAGCCCCATAAAAATATTGTGAAATACAAATTTCTTTGATATAAATGCCTAAATGGAAGAAATAGTCTATATCGAAACCCACAAAAAGGAAAGTGAAATACTCATTATATTGGAACCGTGGGAAACATGTTATCATCATAAGAAATAAAATGTGATAGCAATTTACCTTAGGAGAAATATATCCTAAAAATTTTAATATTGTGTATTAATGAAAAATAAACAAAACATAGACACAATTTAAATGGTAGAGATGAAACATAATAATAGTGAAAAATAAATGTTACATAATAATAATGAAAGAGCAATATGTAAAAATATGTAAAGGAAATGAAACATGCTAAAGATTATATATAACCACTACTATGTATTCTGTTATTTATTGTTATAATTCATCAATAAATATAAATGGCTTATGCCAATCAATTCTGCTATTTATTGCAACAAATGTATGACATATGAGTTGGATTATTTATGAGTTAATATAATCTAACAATACATAAATTACTATAAATATTTAAAGTTAAAATGGTTAAAAGAGTTCTCAAGCAATATCAAATAGGTATATCTATATCACGAATGATCGTTTTTATTCTCAAATCAGATATACGTGACCCTCTTGTGATTACGAAATTCAAACACATAAACCACTTTGATAAAAAAAAAATGAAACACGTGATCCTATCTGAAAATGTGCTCAATCACAATTACTTTTTTTTATACTTTATACATGTAATATTGGTGTCAATTGAAAGGTTATAAAAAGTTAGGAATTTTGATATATTGTTTGAAAAATTTGGAGTAAAAATAAAAAAGATATAACAATTTTAAAAAAATTGGAGTGTTATGACAAAAACATGACATCATCTGTACCAAGAGCAAACCAACGGTCTGTCCTTTCTTTCCCTTTTTCTTTTCTTCTTTCCTTTACCCACTCTATCAACCCCCAATACCCACCCCTCAAGTGCTTCATTTACAAGTACTTCATTTACAAATCTTCAAGTACTTCAAGTACTTCAACCCCCAAAGTTCCTCCAGATCTTCAACAACTTCAAGTACTTCATTTACAAATCTTTAGTGACGAAGCAAGTTGGAGAAAAACCATGTTTTCCTACAGAACATCTTCTGCAAAGAAGGGCGTCCAAGTAACTGGAGTAGTGAAGTGGGCATACTTCCAGGAAGCTCAGTGAAAGGACCAATCTTAAAGGAAGCAAGGAAGTGCATCCCAGGAGACATCTACACTTGAAGAAGACGTGGATAACTTCTTAAGTGATAGGACTAAGGCTTTGTAACTGTTTACTTCAAAGCTTAGTGGAATAGTGGATTAGAGGAACGAGTTGTTCCTTGAACCACTATAAAAAATCTCTGGTGTCATTTACTTATTGCTTTTACGTTTAAACTGATTAACTCCAAAGAAGTGGTATCTGTGTTCAGCAGAACACCTCTTGAGAGTTAACAGAAGGCCTAGTGTCTTTGCTCCTCTGTGAGGCTATCCCGACAGACCCCCTACCAGAAGACCTCCGCTGCCAGTCTGTTCCCAACAGAACAGACTATTCTGTTAACCTTGGTACTTAGCTTGAAAAAGTTAAAAACCTTAACAGTCTATTCACCCCCCCCCCTCTAGACTGTTACCTTGATAACCGGGACCAACAAGTGGTATCAGAGCCTCCTTGTTCTTGTAATCTCTTAGGTTACCCCTGAACAAAGATCCACTTGTTCTAGCCTCTTTAATTCTTATTATGGATAACTCTCTTGCAAAGCATCTTATGTTTTGAGACCATAAATATGATGACTGGAAGTTCCAGATGAAAGCACACCTCTGTGCTCTCCATGATGAGATGTGGGAAGTCCTTGAGAAAGGACCCTTCACCAAATTCATGAAGGTGAACCCTGCACACTCTACTGACAACACACAGCCCCAGATGATTGAAAAGGCCAGATCTGAATGGTCTAAGGAAGAGAGGAGACAGTACAACCTTGACAACATAGCCAAGGACATCCTCTACACGGCCATTGATAACAGATACTTCAACAGAATCAAGAAGTGTCAGACTGCCAAGGAAATATGGGACAAACTTGATCTCATAGGAGCTGGGGATGAGCAGGAGAGAGACAACAAGCTAACCATAGCTATGAAGAAGTTTGATGACTTCAAACTTCTGCCTGATGAATCCATAGCAGAGATGCATGCCAGACTTCTGATTCTCACCAGTGAGATCTCTGAGCTAGGAAAGGAGCTCCAAGTTAAGGAAGTCAATCTGAAGATCCTCAGAAGACTGCCTCCAGTTTGGAAGATGAAAGTAATAGCTGTCCAAAAAAGCAAGGATGTCAAAACATATCCTACAGAGAAGCTGATCTCAGACCTCAAAGTTTATGAGTTTGAGATGCATGATGAGAAGGAAGAAGTGCCAGATGAGAGGACCACCACTGCCCTCACAGCTAGCACTTCTAAGGTAAAATACTTTGATCCTTCTACTTTATTATCTGACGAATATACGGCTGCTTTTGCCAGAAAATTCAAGAAGTTCATGAAGAAAGATGGAAGAAGTCCATCTTCCAGCAGAAAGCCTTTCTAGAAGACCAAGACTTCTGAAAGCAGTGGGGAGCTCCTCTGCTACAACTGCAGACAACCTGGACACTTCAAAGCCAACTGTCTACACCCCAGAGTGTCCAAAAGGCAAGTACAAAATGGAGAAAAGAAGTATGAAGATCATGCCAGAAGAAGGAAGGCATTGATCACTGAGCAAACTGAGAGAGACCCCCTTTCTGAGACAGAATCCAGTTCTGACTCTGACTCAGATGAGGCCTTCTGTTGCCTTGATACTGACACAGAAGACCTATGCCTCATGGCACAATAAGATGATGAGGTACTCTCTACAGCTGATTCTATTTCTTCCTCGGTTGGCACAACCTTAAATGATGATCCAATGTCATCATTTTGGGAAGAGTTCAGAACTATCCAAGACACTTATTCTTTAATCAAAGAAGAAAACAGTAAGCTTAAAGTTGAAATCTCTGACTTAAGGAAAGAGACTGGGTGCAAACTTAATCTCTTAACTAAGCAAAGAAATGAACTGAAAGCTAAAAATGTTTCTCTTCTAAAAAGAATAAGAGAAATTGAGGACCTTGAAATCAGATACAATATCCTTTTGAAGATGCAATCTTCCATAAAGGGTATTGATGATTTTCATAACCTTACCCCTGGCCTTGGATATGTTGGAACAAAGTCTGGCGAGCCTTCTGTAAGGCCTAGCACCCAAGTAGCTAAGGCTAATAAGGTCATAGTGCCACAGACTTTTAGCCCCATTTTGTCATGCCAGTACTTCTGGTACTAAAGTTATTCATGAGGAGGTCAGACCAGAAAATCAAAAGCTAAAGGCCAAACAAAAACAAGTCTTGAAAATAAATGAGCCTGGCAGAAACCCTAACAACAGAAGAGGTTTCCAGAAAAATAATAATCAAAGACAAAATCTCAACAAACATCCTCATGATAGCTACACCAGAGGTTACTACCAGAAAGACAGACATCAAGAGAAAATTAACTATAGACAGAAGAGGTTGTCTTGTCAACCTCAGAAGCCCAAGATTAAGCGCCATCCGCTCTTGATAGTATATGAGACTTCTTTCCAACAAAGAAGGCTATGCAGAAATATGCTAACAGAAAGCATGAACCTCACAAGCATCTGCCCAAAGTGAATCATACTGCTGTTTACCATGACTACCAGGTGGATAATGGGTACCAGCCACCAAGGTTTCACTTGATGAGACCAAAGTGGTACCAACTACCAAGACCGCATTACCCCCAGGACCCAACATTGCTTGGGTACCTAAATCTTCCTTTTGATTTTGCAGGAACTGTGTGCTGGAGCTATCTCAGAACAAGAATGGTTTATTGATAGTGGATGCTCCAGGCACATGACAGGTGACAAGAGTTTCCTAACAGAGTTCCAGAAAATGAATGGACCCAGAGTCACTTTTGGAGGAAATGACAAAGAAGGTCAAACAAAAGGAAAAGGAAAGCTGATCAACAACCAGATAACCATAGATGATGTCTCTTATGTTAAAGGCCTGAAGATCAACTTGCTGAGTGCTAGCCAATTCTGTGATAAAGGCTACACAGTTGAATTCACAAAGGCCTTCTGTTGTGTAAAGCATGAGACAACAAAGGAAGTAGTTCTTACAGCAAACAGAAGAAAGAACATCTATGATGTTGATGGGCAAACTGCAAAGAATGGTGTTTGCCTGACAGCAAAAGGAGATTCAAAGCTAAGCTAGGATTGGCACAAGAAGCTTAACCACCTGAATTTCAAAACAATCAACAAACTGGCAAGGGAACACATTGTAGATGGTCTACCAGACATGGTGTACAAGAAGGAGACCCTCTGCAGTGCCTGCCAGAAGGGCAAACAAGTGAACAATTCATTCAAACCAATTGCAGGAGATCTTTCCACTAGTCCTTTAAATCTTGTCCATATGGATTTATTTGGACCAGTTGAAACTCCAAGTGTTGGTGGAAAAAGATATACACTAGTCATGGTTGATGACTATTCAAGATACACATGGACAGTGTTCTTGACCAAGAAAAATGAAACTCTTCAGAAGTTGCCATCTCTGTTGAAGCAACTTTAAACTGAAAAGAACATGAAAGTCAGAACAATTAGATTTGACAGAGGAACTGAGTTTGTCAACAAAGTGATCAAGGACTTCTGTGATCAAAATGGAACATTTCATCAACTTTCTGCTGCGAGAACACCTCAACAGAATGACGTTGCAGAAAGAAAAAACAGAACACTGAAGGAAGCTGCAAGGACCACGATTGCTGAATCAGGATTACCAATGACATACTGGGCTGAAGCAATCAACACTGCATGCTACACCCAGAACAGAAGCATGATCCACAAGAACCATCAGAAGACTCCCTATGAACTATGGAGAGGAAGGAAACCCAACATCAGCTACTTTCACATATTTGGATG